AGAGATTCAGAATTCCAAATCTTGGTGCTTCGTCGACAGAGTCATACTGTGTCGAGTTGGTACCTTGGGTCTCATCAACTACTGTTCCTGCTCATTCCCTCCATGTGAAAATATATCCATTTTCTGACTGTATGCTCCCACTGTGTCGTTTTTCTTGAGCGTTATCTGACGTGTTATTATGAAATCACGAAGAGGAGACTTTGTTCTTATGCAAGGAGTTCAAGGTGATTTTCTCGGTAAACAAGAATAATGCAATGATTTATACAGAGCGTAGTGCTAGTATGCCCATAAGATTGGGTTTTATTTTTCTGTATAAATATGCCAACGGGTCGTCGGCATATTTGCAGATGTTTGAACAGGCCCTTGTTCGGTTCTGCGTAGTGATGCGGTTTTGCATCCCGGCACAATAGATGCTCAGATACCATGGAGCCGTGGTCTGCTTAAATGGGCCGCTAAGTCGCTAGAATTAAGGGGCCGGTACTTACCCGCATTAATCCGGTATCAGAAACTAAAAAGGAATGCAATGATTTATTTATTTGTAGTATTGTTACAGAGTTTTTACACTCATAAATGATATTAACGTAGTTTTTTATAATTTAATAGATTCTTAAAACACAGAACTCCGTGAGATTACAAAAGACGCATTATACGGGAACATTTGGTGATTTAATTGGTCAGACTAGTTTTACCCAATTGAGGATATAGTTGAAAATGGGAAAGAGTTTTAGAATAAGTTGCTAGCATTTGGTGGTCAGGCAGGCAACTTGTGTTTTAAATCTATTTTTAACCAGCGTTTCGGCGACATAGCAATGAATGTCACCGCTGTGATCCTTGATCCATACTGATATAAAAGAACAAACTGTAATTTAGGTAACCATGTCAGCAGTCAAATAACTGTCCTCAGTTACTCATAGATATAATACTTCCAATTGTTGTCTTTGCATACTCGGTTTTCTTTGTGGGAATATCTACTGATTCTTTAAAGAACCATTCGGCATTGTCGCTTGTCGACTGATTGTGTTGATTTTGGCTTCCTTCAGCCCACTGTCATTTTCCAGTGCATGGATAACAAAACCAAAGTGTACCGTATAGTGATTTCTGATGTCTTGCTTATCTTCAGTAATTCTTATTTTGAAAGCTCTTAAATTCTTCCAGAAGAGTCATGATCAAGTTTATTACGTTCAATGGAATATGAAGGGCAGGCGAGGACAATGATCAAACTTACTGTTCAGTTCAGATCCACGTTAAATTTCTGGCTGCCAAGTTGTCAACGCTTACGATGGACTGTAATACTTATCCAAAGCGTTTTCTCTTTAATAAAATCTTTTGACCTTTTTCGTATCTGCGCCATTCTGTTGAAAGACTTTGTCTTATTATCTGCTGCTACTAAATCAGTGTAGACTTTCAAAAACATGTCAGAAATTTCTGACCTAGTGCTGCTGATAAAAACGCAAGGACGAGAGTGAGTATGGCAATAAATATGGATATGGAAATGATGATGAGACCAAATGGTATTCACAGACACGAGAATATTAACCTTGAATATGTTTGAGATTAATGTAACGGATGATTATCGTCAAAATCAACGCTGGCAATGAAAAAGGAAGAATAAAAGTTTGCAACCATTGGGATATTGATCTTTCTTACGCTTTCAGGATGGGCACTATTTGTGGCAGCCTTTCTTCATAGTGCAGAGTTCACGGTGCAGCGCTGATTTTTGTTGCTTTGCCAGTAGCAAAGAGGCCATATTTCAAAAGAATTATCTACAGTTTTTTTTGAAAAGTGTGGTGTGTAGCCTCCTATTTGTTTTCCCACATAGTGGTACTCGCTTATCTATTTTATAAGGGTGAAAGGGTGATAATTTGACTTGACCATCTTTTGACTCTGAGTTCCATGCCCTTCTGACTGCGCAACTCTTGTTTGTAGATGAAAGTCGATGAGAACCATAAATACAGTGACGATTTTTTTCATGCTAATGGGTATTATGTTCGATGTAGCTGACCACTGTACAGACGTGATTTGATTGTGGTGACAGCGATAAGCTAACAGTGACTATGGTGATGCAGAAAAACGATATGTTATTCAGCGCGTGGTCGAAGAAGTCGATTCAGGATGATGAGCGTAACAGTGATATTGAAAGAAAACGAATGGTGGTAACTGTTGAATCGGAACAGAGCTATGAACCGATCAAGGTTATAGTTGCTGGCTGCGATATGGATGTGAATGATAATGGTGAACGTTTTCATCACTGCGAAGATAAGCATGCAGGCGTATATACTCGCGACAGTGGCGATGATAGTGAAAGGAGTCTTAATGATAAATATGCACATAATAATAGCAATATAGTTATGAACATTGCCACAGCGATACGATGATCGGACTGCATGCCGTTGAGTCTGACAGAAACGAAGTGAATGATTGCAACTACGAATATGACGGGATGTTTGATTTATTCGTTAGTAGTTCTACTGAAAATACAAATCGAAAAAAGTTTGTTTATGTACGATGCAATATGATGGTCAGTTGAATCACTGTCCTATACCATCATTTCGCCCCGCGTCTCACAGGCCTTCTTCAGCGTAAGGTGATTGGTTGATTATAATAAATATTACTCTACTGAGGTAGATGAGTGATGAGAGAGCTGAATAGAATTACGACGCAATGAAGTGTAGTGGGATCTTATGCAGCCGGCTTAGAAACGGATAGTTATTTAAAGACCTGCTAACAGTAGGATACCATGAGTCTGTAGTACGGTTACAGCAAAAGTTACAAACTTAGTTGCCTGTTGTTCGACATGCTGTCTTTACAGTTTTGCCAACGTTTCCTTCAATGTTGAAAGGTAAGATTTGTAAGTTTAAAAATTAACTTAGTGTTCTCTGCTATTTGAAAAGGGGAGGTTTCGCGTGAATAGTTAAATATAATCAGAGTCCTTATGATGCTACGGTCTAGATAGCGAAGCACGTCGACAATTAACTGTGTTATCACGTGTTGTATTTGGTATCCTGAACCATCAATCGTTTAAACACCTATCTGTATATCTATGGCCCAGAATCAAATCTTGAGACATTATTTGTATTGTAATTCTGGCTGCTCAAGTTTAATTGTTCTTTACTACCCATGTTTCAGAAGTTACGTGAAAGCACCACTGATTAAATGTGATTTTTGCCCTGCATTGTTCCATGCAGATTGTCTGGACCCTCCTCTGACGACTTTTCCCAAAGATAAGTGGATGTGTGCAAATCATGTCGAACACATTTTGGTATGCTGGTTTGTATTTGTTATATAATGTTAATGTGCTTCTGTTTGAAATAATGTTTGACGTAAAAAACTGTTAAAACGGTTGTTTGACACAATGTAAGTAGGTTGCTCTCATACTGTAGTCGATATTAATGTTTCGGTCTATATCTTGCGGACTTTATTGAGGATGTCCCTTCATGGTGTTTATTTTTTTGTTTTCATTAAATCCCTGAATTTTTTCTACAGCATATTATAGTTAGATTCATGCGAATCGTTTTCTTTGTCTTTTCCTTGATATGACTTTCTTTAACATTTGATATTTAACATTTGGCTCTTATGTATGTGCTGTTATACCAGTGGGTTATGTGGCTGTCAAAATAGTTAATTGGTACTGGTTTTACTAGTTTTACGATTAGCTTAGACATTAGATGTTTTGCAGACTGATTGATACTAGCGTTGTGATTAATCTGAACTCCTTTTTCTCTGATTATTCTTCTTCGGTTTGCTCAGGCAATTGCCAGATGTCAATCTTGATTTATTGCAAGCTTGAATCCTTTTTGTAAGTGTCTTTGTAACTTTACAATTAATTTTTCTTCATTTGTACGTACGTAATGTAATAAAGATCTTACAGTTAGTCAGTCAATCGTAGATTGGTTTTTCTGCTAGGTTCGATAGACTTTTACGCAATTAGTATTAATGGTATTTTAATAGTGTCTGCCTGATATTAGTGAATTTAGTGCAGATATCAGCAGTTATATGATACAAATGTTATATATAAAAGTTTCAACTAACTTATCGCTTACTAAATGCCCGTAATTCAGAAGTTACATCTCTGATGCAGCTCAGTTTATAAATAATTGTTCAACTGCGGAGAATTATAGCATAGGTACAAGAGGGACACTGTTATTCAAAGAAAACTTTCATTTGCCCAGTAGTAGATGATGGATAAGCATCATCTAACAAGTAGGATGTTCAGTTAAAGCGCGCTAATAGAAATTCAAGCAAGTCCTTCATATTCGCACTCAAATTGTTCCTGGATCATGTCATATGCTTCGCAGTAACGATGCGCTCCTCAGTAGTCAATGGGATTAAGCACTGCCAGCAAAATCGACATTATCCAGTATTGCAGCTAATTCAGCTGTGATCACATTATTCTAACTCTGCTTTGTAGTGCATAGTACCTAGAAACGACTAAAACAATTTCCATGCGACGAGAAACTTTTTTGTGGCTTGATCATTACAATTGCTACAGACGACAAAATCACAGACAAAAGCCACCTCCTTATTTGCGTTTTGTCATTGAATAAATTGTTAATTTATATGTTGTTCAGTAGAATCCTGTTTTTACATTTAAAAAAATAAACGTCGTTAATGCTGTTTTGTGATCATCATTAGCAGCATGTAGTTGATTTATTATGTATTGTTAGAAACTGTATTTCAGATTGATATTAGTCAAAATTTAGTCCTTTTCGCACGCAGGTCTGCTCCTATAAAGTTTGTCCATGTTTTGTGTTGTCCTCAAATGTCTGTGATCGGTGCACGGTTCCCATGCGAGAAAGGCTTTCAAACTATCTCCTCTTTATGAACCGTTTTATGTCATCAGGCTCTTCGCCGGTCTCTCAGTTCATCTGGTAGTTTGCTCAGACCAATCACCGTCAGCTCCTGCTCGTTGATGATCATGTGTTACCCTCTCATTTGATAATGCTTCGCACACAGCTTTGGTGGAATTTGTGTAGATGAAACTCATGACGCTTCAGAACAGCAGATTTTTCGATATTACACGAGTACCGCGAATGCGGCTGCTATCAGAATGGTGTTCATTGGAAATAGACATATGCAATCCAGGCTTAATATGTACCATTCTGTTTACTTTGTGCATTTAAATCTTTTCTGTAGAAGTCTGTCCAGATGATTATTAAATCAACCGTTTTAGCTAAGTATTTTTATATCAAATTTATTTTAAAACAAAGTTAGTACTTGTTTTCCTTTGTTCAAGGAGACTTTCCAAATGCATCAATTTTTTATTTGTTTAATTAATTCTTAGGTGATTATGAAGTTTTATTTCTTCCTTGAACAAGAATATGCCAGAAATTTATAAAATTATTGTATGTTTATCATATTGTTGAATTATCCTTTCCGTTTTTATTTTGTGTTTCTTTTCTGTAGGATGCGAAAATGCTCACATCAGTAAGTTACACTGAACGGCTGAACCTTTGGGTTAAATTTGCTCGGCAACCAGTTGATGAGTTACGCGTTAAACTGAGTTTCATCTCGAGGTGTAAGGATCGGTCTCAGTCTCGACCGATTCATCTCAGAATCGTCGAGCGTGATATCAGACAGAGGGTCGAGGCAAGTAACTCATGGTTTTGTTGAATATGACGTATGGAAACTGTTTTCCTTTTTAGGTTCCCTACTCCGTAAAATGTCTTTACACTCAACCTGTCGAACTTCCATCCTTTCGGCTCCAACGTTTGCTGCAAGAAAACTCGTCATCTTGCATGGAAAAAGCTTTATTTTTGAGTGCAGTTAGAAGTATGCTGAATAAAGATGAAAAACGTCAAGATCATAATGATGCTTTAAATCACGTTGCTTCGGAAGATTCTTCTGAAGAAGCTGTAAAACCAAAAGTTTCCCCTTCGGTGAATGGCTTCGCGGATGGCCGTCACTCACATGAGGAAGAAATTGACGATAAACCGACTGCTGCAGAAAACGTAATGCAGAACGTAGTGCGTTTTCTGCAAGATCCCTTCTCTAAAAGTTGGTATTTTGTGTCTTCTTTCTTGGTTATCTTCCTTATTTACAGGCATTGCTGACGTTGCTCCGCCCGGTCAGGAGCTAATTTGTTTGCTGGCACTGGATAGGCTTAAGCAGATTTCGCAACAGTCGTCTATCCGCCTCAACCCTCCTCAGCATTTCAATGAAAGTACAGTATTACTTTTTTTCATTTGGCAATAATAATGAGCTATAATCATTAATCGCTTGTTCCAGATATGTTTTGTGCAGATCGTCCTGTTATTGGCGTCCTTCACTCACTTCAGGCATCTCAGGCGATCCCCATCCAATCCAACTCAACAACATTCGGTTATGGTAAGCCTACGTGTTAAAAATTAATTATGTATTTAGGAATCTGTCTTAAAATTTTTCATGTCTTCGATATAATCCCGTTCCACAATTTTAAGAATAATAGGCCGATGACCTTGTTAACAGTCATCTACCAGATCTTCACCATAGTACTGATGAACAGACTTCGAGACGGACTTAACCCTGCCCATTCATAAAAACAAGTAAGATCCAGAAGTGGATTTAGTACGATGGGTCATCTCCAGGTTATGCAGCAAGTATTTCAGACAAGCGACAAGTTTTCGAGAAAGTTCGTCAGGAGAATCAGAGGCTGAATGTAAATGGGCACTACTTAAGTCAGCTGCTTTTTTCGGACGATATTCTGGTCCTCTCCAGGTCATCGGAAGAACCTCAAGAAATAATCCAAAGACTGAAAGATGCCAAAATGAAAATTGGACCAAAAATAATGCTGAAGAAGACTCGGGTCATGTTCAACAACTACGTTACCTCTCAACCTGTTGAAATCAACGGACTTGGTTTGAAAAAGTGCAAACATATCTCTACAACGAAGAATCAACTACGTGAAGTGCACAGATGAATCAGAATAGCATGGAGCACTTTTAGGTTACTGTAGATGATCCTATCCGGCAAACTGCACTTGTGTTTGAAACGAGATGAATTCGATCAGTATATGTTCCCACTGTTAACCTATAGATGCGAAATTTGGACCTTAAGCTTGAAAACTTTTCATTAGATGCAAACTACACAACGCAGCAGGGAAAGGTGTGTTGGGAATAGCAGTAAGTGAGAAAGACGAATGAATGGGTGAGAGCGCAGCGTCCTAGTGAATTAGTTATAGAAGCAATGGTTAGGGCACGTTGCAAGAGGAACCGTCCGTTCTTGGACCAGAGGGTCGTTAGACTGGTTTCCATGATAGAGTAAACAACTCTTTGGAAGACTCCCAGATCGATGGTAAAATGAGCCGATGAAGTTCCATTGATCAGCATCGACAGAAGTGGCAGAAAATATAAATCTAAGGTTAAGTACTAGAGAGGCTTTCATCTATTAGCCGTTCGACAAAGACTGTAAGATGGTGTAAATGATAATTCAACCAAAAAGACAATAGTGAAATAGTTTAGACGTGTCAAAAGTCAGTGGGTTTTTAAAAATTTAAAACCGTTGCAGAATGTAGCTTGCTCAGTGTCATTTTCAAGCTGCGCCATTTATGTTTACTTTGTTTAGCTCATTCAGCAGGAGGTTGGGTAGTTCATCAAGGTTGATGTTATCTTATGGAGGCTGTGTCATCTAAAAAATCATATGTAGAACTTGAGGGTGGTGTGAGTTTCAGGTGATATTTGAAGAGATTGGAAAATTCTGAATCATTTTCTCCCTTGTCTGAGAATTATCGACTTTGTGTTATGCATTTACGTCATACACAATATGTTGGTTTCAATTGCACAGTTTTGGAATTCTTGAATGTCTTGATGGTAAATATGTCGTTTTTAGTTAACTGCGACATTGACCTTACAAAGTTTGGTGTTTGCCACCGGATTTCGCCGCATTACGC